GCTTGCAGCATGATGGGTGATGACTTCAAAGTGCCGATGTTGCCGAGTAAGTACCGTGGCATTTGAATAACTGTTTTTGGTCAATTTGCCTATTCGGATTTCAATAGTAGTCTATCCAAATCTGATCTGATTTTTTTTCTCATTCAGATAGGATGGCAGTGGTGAGCACAGATAAAAAGAGCGAGCCACAGCGAACATCGAAGCTTCAGGTATTTTTCATTTCTTGAAGTATAGAGTTTTAGGTGTTCTTTGTTCAAAAATGAATACATTGGTAAAAATATTCTTTCTGAAACATATATCTTTCGATAAGTTTTTGTTGGGAAGCGATTCTTATGAAGGTAAAATGAGAGTTTCAAATAAATAAATTAAGTAGAAGCTTTACCATTTTAAAGTAGAGTAACTTACTATATCATTGGATTGAGGCTCCAATCATGCTGCTAACCGGTCATGAAGAAGAAATTTTTGCCGCTCGTTTCAGTACTGACGGAACTTGTCTTGCAACTGCGGGATTCGACCAGAAGGTTTTATCATTGCTCTTTTTCCGTCAAATATGTTGCATGAGTTAGCAATTCTTATTTTTACAGATCTTTCTTTGGAATGTTTATGGAGAATGTGAGAACTTCTCTTTGCTGCGTGGTCATACCGGTGCTGTTATGGATGTCCATTTCAATACAGATTCAAGGTATTATTTTATTGGTATTTGATTGTAGAAGATATCAATGTCATGTTTCTTTGAGCTTACTGGTATCTGCTGCTACTGATAAGACCGTTCGGGTATGGGATATGGAAACTGGAGCATGTCGGCGAAAATTCAAATCACATGTTGACATCGTAAATGCTTGTCATCCTTCACGACGCGGCCCCCAGCTGGTGTGTTCCGCTGGTGACGATGGTTTGGTTAAAGTGAGTGCTTAAAACATTTTAGTTATTCTGTACTCCTTCAATCTCTCTATTTTTAGTTAATATTATTTTTCATATCCTTTTTTTTTGTGAAACTCAGCCTAAAAGAACTTCTCAATTTTTACACGTCTGATCGTTTATGGGAAAAATAGCGAGCAAACTTAACTTAGTTTTTTCATGTTTGATTACTCTTCACTTTTTATGGATTTGAGAATTTCTTCTACGCAACCGGTGTTTAATACTACTTAGGTTATTTCCATACTTCATCGCTTATAAGCGCACGCGGCGGTCGCATTGCGACGTAGCTGCCATTACCATTTTGCTTGAAGTTCGGTACAAATCTTTCCACCACACTTACTATAGACTTCTGATTTAACACATCAAAGAAAGAAAGCAAGTCAAAATTTGAAGAAAAAATGCGGAAAACCTGGAAGGTGAAAACGCCAAATCGGTGCCCAATGGGGAGCCGCAACAGAACCACCGCGCACCCTTGATCGGCCGATTCTTATTGCGTTTATTTAATTGGCCTATCCTTGTGAAGTATAGAGGTACCTTTGAGCTCGTATAGGTTTGTTCTAGCATTTAAGTCCTATGTAACACACAAAATTACTTGCTTTTGGATTTTCTGACAGGCTCTCCCAAATACTTGCTTCAATTCTGCGTTCGCTAAGAGTAATGGAGAGACTTTATAGGTGCATGATGTTCGAATGAAGGATGCTGTGAAAACATACGAAAACAGGTTCCAACAGCTAGCCGTTACATTCAATGATACTTCTGACGAGATCTTTGTGGGCAGTATCGATAGTGATATCTATGTATGTTTTTTTTTCGCTCTTTTTGTTTGCTCGACTACTTCATACTTCAGTGATAGCATGTTATCATCCTTTTTTGTTGGCCATTTTTTTTCGTTAGGTGCTATTTTTTGAACGGCACCCAAATCCGATTCCCTTACTGCGAGGTAAACACAAATTTAGTGCTGGGATATGCGACGTGATGACATCTCTTATGTAATGCAAGGACACAAAGATATAATTACTGGATTATCGCTTAGCCCAAATGGCAACTATCTCCTATCTAATAGCATGGATTGCTCTGGTAGTTTTCTTTTCTCTCTCTCTTTCTTTTGCTAGAAATGCTGTAACTTTCTATTTTAGCAAAAATGTGGGATGTGCGACCTTTTGCCCCTCAAGAACGGTGTTTGAAATCATTTTATGGACATCAGCATAACTTTGAAAAGGTTATTGTGAGAGTTTTAGACATTTTTTTCTTGATTCAATGTGTTTTTACACAGAACTTGCTGAAATGTGGATGGTCTGGTGATGGTAAGCGAATTACGGCGGGATCAAGCGATCGGTTTGCTTATGTATGGGATGTAGCCTCACGACATATTCTCTACAAGCTTCCCGGTCATTTGGGTTCGGTCAACGCTACGGATTTGCATCCAATGGAACCAATACGTAAGTCATATCTTTGAATTGAAAGTTATCTGGTCAACATGTTGCATCTTTTTAAGATCTTACATTCTTTTACGTCTTTCGAACATATCTCTCTTGAG